GCAACTAGTGAAAGACAATCATATTTTGACATTCTAAACGTCAATATGTGATTTTGTTTGTAATGTATTCACCGCGCATTTTAATTTCCTAACTTTCAGACTGCGTGTTCACCCAACCCATGTCAAAATGGCGGCCAATGCACCGTGAAAGATGGAGGAACAAACTACACCTGTAATTGTACTGGTCGAGGTCATACTGGAAGAAATTGTGAAATCAACATGGTATGAATAATGACAATAACCACACTACTTTTTGAGTTCATTTTCTTTAATTCGATGTTTTGTTGTTATAGTGCTCGCCGAACCCTTGTCAAAATGGCGGACAATGTACTGTGAAAGATGGAGGAACTAACTACACCTGTACTTGTACTAATCACACTGGAAGAAATTGCGAGCTAAGTAAGTAATAATAATTATCTCCGATGCAAACAATTTGGACAAAACTTCACATTGTTCGTCTCCATCGACCACAGTTTATTTATTTCCTTCAATCTTTTCTAAGAATATTATTTCAAGATAAAATATACCAATATTTCTTTCTAGAATGCGTTTTGTTTGACTTTGAAACTGGACGACTTGACGGTTGGACCCTGACAGGAACAGCATTCAACAATCAGCCAACCTACGGAGACAATTCCCTTGCAAGAGGCGTGGAGTCCGCCAAACTCAAAGGAGACTGGTACATAGCAACATTCGAGAACAGACCCAGTCCTTCGCATCCTGTAGGAGCACAAAAGAAAATACCTATGGGAAATGCGACTTCTCCACCATTTGTGATCCGAGGAACAAAAATAAGGTTTCTTCTGGGTGGTGRTAWTGATATAAATACACTGCGATTTGAGTTGCTTATTGATGGAGTGGTCGTTGACAAGACAAYCARYMCARGAARGAGCTTTACAATGACACAAAGAGAGTTCAATGTATCATCTCGAAGAGGTCAGGAAGCCCGGGTTCGAATCGTTGACATGACAAGCACGGGTGTGATCTGCGTTGACCACATCGAAGACAGTTGCWATGAGTAAATATGCATGCTTACCATTGAGCAGAATTCTATTGTTTTGGGCGACAATTTAGTTATCTGGCATAAATGTTATGCGACATTAGTCACATGACTATTTCTCTCTCTTTCGGCTTTCTCAACTTCACCTAGTTTCTCAAGAACACCTATAATATTATCTTAATAATAGCTTATGTGTACTCAGCTACCGTCCAATATCTGGTAGTCCAGCACTGGGTCAACAATGAATCTTTAATGCACGAGCTATTGTTACGATAATGGCGCCAAACCTGTACAAACTTCTACGTTCACTCTAGTTAACTGCTTTCCACGAGTATAGGTTTAGCAATCGCTCTTTCATCATATATTTCTAGCTCTTAAGGTCACATCATAACCTTAAACCATAACTTAGTTAGTTTGACGTTTGTCAAGATGTCAAGTAAGTGAGTTGTTGCTTAACTCCGAGWGCTTACGCCCTTGAATAATTAACGTAAAATACACAAACACGTTTTGGCCTTCCAAACGTTAAMGTCATTTACACAGCTTCCTGGACAATGTCCTAAGTTTAACTTTAATTTCACCAAGCGCGTGCACTCGTCCATCTAACTAAACAACCCACTCACAACGATATCCATAAAGCTAGAAGATACTCGCTTGTAAGTAGTCCAGTTGTTGTAAGCAGTTGTTGCAAGCCGACAGTTCACTTGATGTAAAAGCCCATTGGCTGCATAGCACCAATAAAGACACAAGAACCGATACCAGCTTCTACTTGAATAAACCCCCGCTAACATAAATAGGTCACGCACTAAGCCCGAATTGGTTTCGGGGTAAAAATCAATGAACTGGCAAATTAGAGATTTGAACGCCTTTGTGATTGGAAGAACTGACACATAATGTGTGACAAAAATTTCCAGATCACGTGAATTTAATTATGCATGCATGTGGTGTTGATTTTTGCATCTCACATTGTTATCCATGTCATGGCGGGSAATACAACCTTCAATTTCACAAGCAATCTAGCCGAGTCTTATCTATAGGACGCTGCTAACAATGGTCAATGTTTGTCTTCGAATTCTTCAAAAAGAGAAGAAAAGCCTTTTTTGGAAAAAGATATGTCATACGTCGACGAAAAATTGACACTGCTAAAAGGTGTTTAGTAAGACGAGTGATAATCCAAGGATGGAAAGCATACTGTGCAWATTCAACTTTTGAATTATGTACAGAAGATCGTAATGACAGCTATATTTCCATGACCACTTGTAACTTTTAGCATGATTATGATTTTGCAATAAAATCGAAATATAGCTGTCATTACGATCTTCTGTACATAATTCAAAAGTTGAATATGCACAGTATGCTTTCCATCCTTGGATTATCACTCGTCTTACTATATGCCAAATTGTCGGATGGTTCTGGTTTTCTAAAAGGTGTTGTTATGCCTAATTTGCATATCCATTGATTTTTACCCATAAACCTGTTCGGGTGGGTCGCGTGCTTCATAGTCCGGCTGACGACAAACTTTTGTCAATCGACTACTTGCAGAAATCACAGTAATGGCATATTATATTCCCAATATATAACACTAATGTTGAATGGAGAACATTCTCAAATCCTCATAAACAAGACTGTAGAACGTTGAAGAAATTTATCTCTACAAACGGAATTTTATGTTGATCATAAAGATCAGAAAAACTCTTACTTATACATAGAATTGTAGTAAAKGTAATTTAGGATTAAAATAGCTTTGTAAAAAGGGGAAAAATAAATCTCAAAGATACCGAATAAGACGTTAGTTAGTTAGTAAGGGCGGATGGCTCCGAGATTTAACAATAGCACTCCMAACKTCCCTGTCTTCCATCATCGTAGCCAGCTCRTGTGWGCTGATTGCCCCTGTGTCGCGCTTGAGGGTGTCTACATAAGTCGATTGAGGTCTTCCTCTGGACCGCGTTCCGTGAGTTGGTTCCCACAGGATCAATTTTYGGGTGCTTAGTTMARGSTGGYGGTAGCAGTGTCCTGCCAGACGTAGTCTGCGCTCAGCAATCTCTCCTCACAATTCATCATTAGTAATGCGGGAGATCCAGTGCACATTCAGAGCTTTCCTCAGCAGACGGGTATAGGTACCACTTAGTGATTTCACCATAGAGCCCGTCATGGACCAGCTTTCACATCCACATTCACATCRGCAAGTCGTATTTGATTTTCATGGTATGTTTGGAGGTTCTCAAACTTAGTTTGAACTTGGCACAGACGATTCTGTGATCTGAGCCCACAGTGCAGACTCTGACGAAATTCAGTCTATTTCCTAAGTTTCTTTACTATCGGCCAAACAAACGGTGCTTTGTCAAGATTCTTCAATAGAATTTGTTTCAGTTTACCTCGTCCCCAGACTCGTCCCCAGTCGTTACGCTTTATCTTTCGATACGCTCGAAGGGGTTGRTGGGAATTCCTTTGCCCTTCCCTTCATGTATTGCGCGCCGCTGGAGAAAAGCGACATATTACTAGTCCTTCTCGCCCTCCCCCCCCCAAAAAAAATGTAACAAGGCTTTAGTTTTTTGCGCAATTTCTTTTACAAAGGCGCTGCAAGGCAATTTATTGACAAAATTGTTGCAAAGTATAACAGCGCCTAGTGACAGACAGACTAGTGAAAGAAAATTMTCTTTTGACATTCTAAACGTCAATATGTAATTTTGTTTTTAATGTATTCACCGCGTTTTAATTTCCTAACTTTTAGATTATTTGTTCATCGAATCCTTGYCAAAATGGCGGACAAWGTACCGTAAAAAATGGAGGTGCTAACTACACCTGAGCTTGTACACTTGCTAATATCTACGAAAGAAATTGYGAGCTTCGAAGTAGGAATACAAGAATTTCAAATATTGCATAGAGATTGTTTTTTATCATCTACATTCGGTTTGTAGAGYAGTATTTTGTTTATGCGATTGTTGTGCAATTTAGTAAATGGTGTTCATAATAAATTATTCTGGTTTATATCTATCATTTCGTTGCAGAATTTGTTCAAAAATACACTAGTGAATTTGTACAGTCTCGCGGCGATTAATTAAGCTTTTACTCAAAAGTATTAAAGTTGGAAACTAGCGGTAAACTAGCTAGTATGAGCTGCGTCCGTGCTTCTAAAGGAACAGTTGACGTGTAAAAAGATTAATTTAAGGTGGATTCCTATAGTTTTTTTTCGACCATATCTCTCTTTTTAAATTTGCTTTTTGAAAATCTTGCCATGCACCGAATTATTTGGTGTTTGGAACAGTAATAAAGTATTGACCAAAGTTTTGTTTGATATAATATTTAGCTCCATTAACATTACCTAGGCGACGGAAATTGCATTTTGTCGAAATTCGTTTTTGCCAAATATCTCAAAAAATTGATGAGATCCAGAAAAGCGTTAGACATCATCATTAACTTCACACTATTGCACAAAGTTTTGGAATAGTTGAAAGCAAAATCCATCAGTTCGATTTCGAGTAATATTGACAAATATTTTATGGATGTGATTTTTKTATTTTATTTTTTAGTTATTTATTTTATTTGATCTGTATTTGCTGTCTATATAATGAGTTTAACAARTTGGTTTATAAAAGGGAAAATTCGACTGGTCAATAACAAAATAAGCTCTAGCGAGAGAGAATATATTGGGCCACATTTACATGGTTCCTGGTTCAGAAACTAAGCTAATGTCCGGAATTTCATGCAATGAAAAGTCTTCATGGAATGTTAGTCAATAAAATGCTTTAATCAAGAATAATATTTGTTYTTAGACGGGTGCGTACTATTCGACTTTGAAACTGGACGACTTGACGGTTGGACCTTGACAGGAACAGCATTCAATAATCAGCCAAYCTACGGAGATAATTCTTTCGCGCAAGGAAATCCTAAATCGAAACTCAAAGGAGACTGGTACACGATTATAGACCCAGTCCCTYTCAACCGGCAGATGGACGTCAAGACGATTGGCATAAGGGCACAGCGACCTCGCCTCCATTTGTAATCCGAGGAACAAAACTAAGGTTTCTGATTGGTGGAAATCCGAACGTCAATAAAACACGASTTGAGCTCCTGATTGGCGGTTCTGTGGTTGCTAAGCTAGCGTCATATAACACTAGCTCTTCAATGCAGCAAAAAGAGTTTATTGTGTCATCTTATACAGGCCAGGCAGCTCAGGTTCGAATCGTTGATGACTATTCAGGTTACTTTGGTTTTATCAACATTGACCACATTGAGKACAGTTMTTGCAYTGARTGACCCAACATCTCAAAATCCTAAGCATGGTTATCGAAAAATATCAACGTCTTCWAAAWTCTCATACACCCATTTCAAAAAACGTTGTCGGGGAGAACGGCAAACGGCGATTGTCGAAGGAAGATTGCATGACCGAAAGTAAACTACGGTTACATTGTTTGACATGCAAGATTTCAATGTACAYCATTTTGYTCAATCAACTCGAAATTTTWGGTTAAGATTTTATTGAAACTTCGTCAGTATATCAATTATGTTATTAAGAAATGATTCTGAAGATTTTATTACAATCTCTGCGATGAGTTTCGAGAAAATTAATTTTGAAGAAAAATGAAGGTGTTTTTATTTTGCATCGTTTATCCAAATGGCTTCGCTTTTTGGCAAATTAATTTATCAACAAGAATTATTGATAATCACTGTGACTTCTGTGCAAGTTTGAGTGCAATTGAATCGAAATTTGCGACGTAGTTGCAGTTTAAAAATACGCGTGAAACCCTATTTATTACGATCGAAACACCTTAACCTTGCRCGAAAATCGAGACTAATTAAAGTTACTGGATACCGTAGACTATTTTTACAATACAAWTCARTWATGATTCTACTCCAATTAGCAAAACCCATGTGTCCTTTCGGTCGTGCAATCGCCGTTTGACAATCGTCATTTTATTCTACAACTTTTTTGAAATAGGTATATGTTTAATGTACACAAGCTGCTGAAGAATTGCAGAGTCTAACAGGGTTCGTTTCAAAACTTCTTTGTTGCGCAAAGCGTTGCATGAACATGAAGTAGAACTAAGGTCGATTTTTCCCAACGCACTGCCGAACAACTTGTGACGCTATTCCCACCGTATCATCTCTCTAGCAACTTTTCGAGTACCATATGYTGCTAGAGCAAAACCAAGSGACCGCTATTTAAGTAGKCAACAGRCTCACTTGTGAAAAGATTTTACCACTGACAAATGAAAGCACGAAAAAATGTTGACATAACAATAGCTCTAAAAATTTGAATCTTCTTCGATTTGAGGCTATGCATGTCARTATTCCCACAAGACCATAGAGTTTAAGCCTTCTGGAAACGAAGAAAGCAGGTTAAATTTTAATGACAGATTTATTTGCATACTCACACCTAAATGAGAAAAAGTGCATTTGTGATTTTGTTAAAAGAAAAGGAAGGAATACTCCAGTTTCGAATTCATAGCGAATTCATGCGATGATTTCAAAACCACTGCATGCGAGACATGACAAACACAAGTCTTAATCAACGCGATTTGTGGCTCACATGTCCGGTCGATATTGACTTTTCAACTATTTGAATAACAATTTACTTTTTTCAATTTTTTGATATCAAAAAAGTGTCAAAACCCTCAACACCTAGATGTTATTAACGAGTTTGTCATCTGTATGCTTTTAATGCGATTCGAGTCATCTTCTACTATATATGAATAAATATGTTTTTTTACAARGACCCTGTGGGTCCAGTACCCTCTTCAATTATCTTTTGCTGACAAAGTATTTGAGCATTTATTGTTTCAAAGAATTACGTAGGAAAGGAATGTGTACATTGCATCGTCATGTGTCTTGAGTTTCCAARTCTATCAAGCTGCATACAGCCGTCCATTTATCTSTCTTTACTGATAGYTCATTCGCAAAAACTCTCAGTTTTGTTTTCCTCATTTAAAAGCTACCATTTCTAAATGGTTTTCTTTAGATTTTCTTTTGTAGAAAACACCACAAAAGCTTAACACCATTTTTTTAAATTTCCTTCTATAAAGGTCATGAAATACCAGGTAAATGAAAAAATTATGCAGGAAGAAGCACTGAGTCATAAAATTAGCAATGTAAACAAGATTACTTGAAAGTTTAGGATTCATGTGATGGAGCTTCCCTTCGACAGCCAGCACCACTATTATAATATAAAACGTCCAAGAGATGTACAATAAAGCTACAATGACAACTGACATTTTCAAGACATTTTGATTTTGTAGTTCTCTTTTTCTTCTKATGAAATCAAGTTGTTGTCCAGGAAYTTCATGCARACGAAGTTTATACACGATGATTATATAAACCGACGCAACTGCGGTTACTGGAATACCAAATAACAAAGTTATGTTGACATATCGACTTAACCGACTGTAGCTATCAAACATGCAATAAAGATTCTTGTTGTGAACATTTAAATGCATCTCGTCTTGGAATGGTATCGTTACAAGGATCGCAATGGTCCATATTCCAGGAAGAATGCGCTTTAGATAAGGTGTTCGAAATCTTCTTCGAAGTGGATGGGAAATTGTATAGTAACGAAGTGGCTGTGAGACTGCAAAGTAGCGATCCATTGCAATGAAAACACCGCTGTATAATGATACGGCAGCGCACAGGTTCATTAAAATCAAAGTAAGTTTACACATGAAAAAGCCAAATTCACCAGTGATCAGCCATCTATAATTGTAGTTGATCTCTACGATCCTGAAGGGGACGCAGACAATGGTAACGATGAGGTCGCTGACAGCCATGTTGGCAACGAGGAAATTCATAGTTGTTTTCAACCTATTGTCGTTATAGACGGCCCAGATGATGAAGGAGTTTCCAAATGCAGAAACCAGAAACACAATGCAGTAGGCTRAAGTTTTTGCTACTTTGCCTTCAATTAGGTATCCACCTTGGTTGCTATGATTTGATGGGTTCAATGTGGAATTTCCATCGTTAAACATGATGCTTGGAGTTTCTTAATAAATGTCCTGCACGCAAGTTCAGCTAATACGAGCTAAAAAAGTATAATTGTAGACCCCGGGCGGGCAGTATATTAAGTTAATACAGCACAGTCATCAGTTTGGACGGGATAATTCAGGGCTCCAATAAACGACGTTGATACAAGTTGATCTGAAGACCCAATGTAGTCGCAAATCTTGTGAAGAGCGATTGAGKGCTCCGACACACAGTTACTATACACGTTACAAGGTTTCTGGACTTTTTGAAAAGCTCTACAGTCTAAATCCTGCGGAGAATTACCCACAATGCGCGCTCAATACAAGTTGCAGGTTGCTTTGAAGACCACGACGTGCCTTTTAAATGTAGAGTGGCCTGATTGATGGTCCGGGTAGGTGTTCAGTAATTGTGACGTCTTTTATGAGGTGTGATTCTTCCTAAAAAGTGGAATTACCATACAACATTACTTTGGCATCAAAMCTTTRGTTTTAGGCATTTTTGTTGTTGTTGTTATTTGAATTGATAATACTTACTGAAAACAGCTCTTAACGAGACCAACAAATACATGACTGAGCGGCTTATCGCAAGAATGTATGTGTCATTTCCTATTTTGAATTCACCCAACTGTGTAATATTGAAAATAGTTTACCTTCCATTGTTTTGATATTTTATTGTAATAAAATATTTGCATTGCTTAATTAAAAGACAAAAACTTTCTATTATACGAACGTGTTACTCAAGTTGGCGTCAGGGTTTCCAGGAATTAGGGATAACTTTCATGAATGGCTTATCTGACAAATTTATACAAGGTACTAAAGATACAGTATGTGCAGGCCCGGGGGCCGGGGGGGGCGAGCGGGGGGTTCGGAAAAACCCCACCCCCACAAGCTTAAATGGCCCGGTGTTTCTCTTTTTTATTGTTCTATTTTTAAAATTCTTTTGTTATGAACTGTTTTTAAGAACTGCTCATTCTACCCCCACCCCCGAATTTGTAAGGCAGCCTACGGGCCTGATCTGTTTCAGCCAGAACACTTTAAACACATGAAACGTTGGTTACCACACACGAATAAATGTTAAATGTTTTCCACTCTCACTAAACTATTAATAGTTCATGTTTGACGGATTCTCAATAATAAATATAAAAGTCGATTCTGTATATTAACAAAGTCAGCAGAGGAATAGTGTCCAGTCAAACTTAAAGACAGTCGAATATCTGAACTAATACTTTTGATTCTGAAGACCTTTAAACAGGTGAGCAGTCGATTTAAATTGGGTTAAAAAATATCACGCAAAAAAGGAAATCTCTTAGTATTGTCTACTACTATAACGTAAAGGCGAACACATCGAGTTATCAGTTCATTATAAATTAAAAGACTCGACTGATTGTAAAGTGATATTCAAGATATTCAAAGTTTTTTGTGTGAGAAAAATATCTAAAATTCAAAAGCTGAAGATATTAAGAACCATGACGAAATACTAAGCGTATTTTAATAAAATAATATTTGATTCTGTTAAATCTTAGTATT